CATGATTGACAGAAAACCTTCTGTTTTCCACTGAAAATCAGTTCCCACCTGTCCAGGTCGTGAGTGACAGAGTGGGTGACAAGGCAGGAGTTACAGCAATTACTGAAGATTGGATTAATCTCTGTAACTTTCAGCAAACCCTATAAAAATAATAGTGTATTGTACCCACACTGTTCTTATTAAAAATGATAAATGACCCCCATTTTTTGGCTAATGCTGATCCCAAAATTTCATCCTTCTCCTCAGCTTTATGGCTGCCATAATCTTGATATTTTAATAGCTTTTTCCATAATAGCCACAGAGACCTTTTTAAGTGGCAGCTCTGACTTTATGGAAGAGACTTTAAAAAAATTTTTCAAAAATCAAGAAGAGTTTCTGCTTCTTAAAGGCAGAAGCAAAATATGGGGGGGCAAGCAGAGAAATGTGATTTTGGCAAAGCACAGACCTACGTTAATAATTACTCAGGATTTATGTGCAGTTTTCATTATAGAATAGATAATGGAAATGAAGAAAAATAACGTTACAACATGTCCTGGGTCTGTTCTGGGATTGCAGCTCGTGGAGTTTCTCCTCTCCCTTAAAAACAGCAAATACAGGTCAGAAATTGGGTAATATTCTATGTTTGAGATATCTTTAGATCTTTACTAAAACCAGAAATACACTATAGCTATAAACTGCTCAAGTGTAAATAGACAGTTGAACTGGAACCAAAACTCCAAAACTAAATTGGAGTAAAGCAAGGTTGAAAGAGCTCAGAAACAGGTACCTGCAGCAAAAAGAATCTGGGGGAGGAAAGTAGAGAACATAACCTAGAAGTAGAGAGAGAAGCGTTACAGGTGTGAAAATCCTTTGCATGAAAACAAAATGTGAAGTGTGGGGCAAGATTTGAGAGGTTTGTGAGAGGCAAATGGCAGGTGCCAGTAGTCAGAACTTTTTCCCATGACTGTAATGTATCCTGGCACTCTAGACAGGAGAAGTGAGTTGAAGGTAACAAATCCCAACACTGTGGAAATTACACCCAATTTGTAAACTGTAGATTATGGAGATTAATTGTCACAGAGAAAAAATGTGGGCCTTTGTCGGGGCCGAGCCATTTGTCAGTGAGGGGAGACTCAGACACTCGATATGAGTGATAAGCAAATTCTGTTTATTGAAGAGAGCATCAGACACTTATACAGCGAGCAATAAGCTTATGAATATTCTGTAAGCCAAGCAATCTATTGGTTAAACTATACCATCAACTCTTCCTCATTCCTTAGGGGTTACATGTCTCTTTTCTCATGCCTCTTTCTCTGTTTGTTATCCTACCACAGCTAGGCCCAAGGACACTGTTATCTTGCAGGTGCCGGACTTGGAATTAGCCATGGTTTTGTACTTTTCCATTTTCTAGCAGCTAAATTCCCAACAATTAATGACAGATCTGCTTTAAAGGGGAAATGCAAACGTGGGAAAATAGGCAAAAATCACATGGAAAGGGCCCCAAATTAGACAGGAGAAGTTTGTAATGTGTTCTTTAAGGAATCAGAGGCTCATGTGGGATTGGAGAAGCACAGATTGCCCCTTGCTGCTGGTTCCTTGTGCTCCAAGGCTCCGTGTTGGTGACTTTGGGAAACCTTCCCACCAGCCAGAGCCAGCCCAGGCTGTGTTTGCAGTGTCTTTGCTCAGGAGGTACAAATTGTACACACCTGTGGGGTGTGAGCTGCCTGTCAGCTGCAGAGCAATTAGAGAGGCAGACCTTATCAAAAGGAGGAGCCATAAATATTGCACAGGGATCTCTCAGGAAATCAAAGGCTCTGGGAGGGAGTGTTTATTTCCATGCTGCTGCACAAGCACGGGCACTCTGAGGTGCTGCAGCCTGTGCTGCTCCCTGGGCTCCGTCAGTCCCATGGGGTTTGGGACAGGGAGAGAGAAAGAAAAGCCAGTTTTAAATTTTATATGGCAATAATGGACTGCTCCTAATGTCCAGTTCTGTTGGGCAGCTGGATTTCTCTGGCATTGAGAGGAAGGCACAGCTGCACCTTCAGATCTTAGAGTGCTCCAAATTAATAGAGTTTCAAGGTGGCTTTGGGGGGATTCCAATGTTTTGCCCTCTAGAAATGGGTTTCCTTTAGTCCCCCCCTGCACTGGGTTCCTCATTTTGGAGACATCCCAGCTCATCATTTGTTCTGTCTGTGATCAGATCTCCTCCTCTTGCCCACACTCCTATGCCTGCTTACCCAGGGCTTCCAACCCTTAAATATTATATTGTAATCTATTTTAAATATCTTTAAATTTTATATAGCAATAATAGACTGCTCCTAATGTCCAGTTCTGTGTCATTGGGGCAGCTGGATCTCTCTGGCATTGATAGGAAGGCAGAGCTGCACCTTCAGATCTTTACTGTGTTCCTCACTTTTATGTGACCAAATTAACAGAGTTTCAAGGTGGCTTTGGGGGCATTTCAATGTTCTGCCCTCTAGAATTTGGTCTCCTTTAGTCCTCCCTGCACTGGGTTCCTCATTTTGGAGGGATCCCAGCTCATCATTTGTTCTGTCTGTGATGAGATCTGCTCCCCTTGCCCAGCCTCCTCTGCCCTGCCTGCCCAGGGCTCCCAGCCTGGCCCTCCACTCCAGTGACAGAATTATCCCAGGCTTTTTAACTGAACCAGAGCCCAGGAAAAGCTCCTGCAATGATTATAGGGCAGGAAAGCCTTGAAAACGCCAGCACAAGGGCTCTCAGTGGCTCTCACCAGCAAGGAGATGAGAACTCCTTCAGCCAAAGGCATCATTAGCCCACAAGCACAGAACCACAGACTACAATGAAAATATTTAACCTGGAAATTAGAAGGGTTTTAGCAATTAAAGTGATATTGGCTCGCAGAGGAAAGCAGGAGCCGTTTCTGGGGTGTAATTATACCTGTGAGACCTCCTGGGAGAGGATGGGAGGGACAGGGATTGATCCAGAAATTCCCTCCCCGCTGTTTTCCTGTGCTCAGGTCACCATTTCCACTTTCTGTGAATTGCAGAGCTCAGGGGGCTCTGGTGGAAACCTTGGAGTGAAGAGTCACTCCAATTTCAGCACCTCTGTGCATCCCAGGGCAGGGATGTTTATTTGCCTGGTGCTGCTGCTTCTGGAGGAGCAAGATAATTGTTCACCAAGAGTAAATTTAAATAAAAAAACAACCAACAAACTTAACTACTTGCAGGAAATAATAAGCTGGCTGGGAAGTGGTACCTTGTTTGCTCTGAGTATCCTCTTGACATCAGCATGAGGTTCCTTCTAATGAGATGCACATGTGTAAATATGATGATTAGATGTTCCCTCATAAACAGAATTATCATACCTTTCTAGCAGTCTAAGCAGCCATTTTCGAGTCCTGTTGTTACAAATAAATAAATAAAGGCCAAAAGGCTGCACTCAAGCCTCTCCTGGCTGGGAACAGTGGGACATGAGGGCCGAATGTATTTTCCAAAGTACCTAATGGTAGCTGAGGTCAATTACAGCCATGACTCATTAGAGTATTAAAACAAGAATGTGATTTTTAGTATAATTAGTGTTCTCTTAGAAAGCTGCAGCAGTCTTGTATCCACTTCAGGCTCTTTGAGTGTTTGGGCATTTGGCTCAGGCAGATATAACAGGGTTAGACTGCATTAACCTCACTCACAGCCTCTGCAACGCCTCTCACTTCTTCTTTATGGCTCAAATAACTTCCAAAGACGCTTTATAAAACACAGAGCCCTGTCTAATTAGTCACAGAGAAGATTACAGCTGCTTAATTTAGTGTTCAGTTTTCTGCTGATTCAGAAATTCCTGAGGAATAAAGCATCCAGTGGGTGATAACACAACTCGGCAGATCCTCCTCACAACTGGCTTTGAGGGGGGAAAAAAATTAATTAGGGAGGATGAAAGCAAAGCTATGGGCAGGCTGGAGTGTTCACAACAAAAAGGTGAGATTCCTGTGAAATGCATTTTATTCTGGATGAAGTGGAAGGAGTAGCAGGAATATCAGATCCATGTGTTGAAGTGGAAATGCCACAGCTGGAAATTTGCATTTGGAGTGATGCCTTTTTCTCTTGTCCTAAAAATATGAGCCAGACATAGTTAGGGTGATAAAAGGGGCACCTTGAGTGCACAAATTCTGCAGGTGGAAAAGGCTGAGGATGCTCATGCTTTCTGTACAATTTTTATAGATGCTGCAAATTAGCATATCTGACAAGAACGCCCCAATTAGGAGCCTGCCTGATGAATTAATCCCCCCAGTTCTGGTACCTTCTAAATTCTCTCCCCTCAGATGAGATCCAGGCCCTGTTCACAAAAATTTGTCTCAAAAAGCCATTTTCAGCCTTGGTTTCTAAGGAGAGCCCGGACAGCACAGGGATCCTGGAATTTTTTTTTGTCTTTCTGCCTAGGAAAGCGTTAAAGCTAAGCTATGATAAAAAACTACAAATATTTGTGTAGAGAATACAGAGAATATGTGAAAGAAGAAAAGGTAAAAACCAAAATGGCATCAGAGAATATAGAGAAGATAAAAAGGTAAAATAGAGAATATATGAGAATATATGAAGGAAAAAAGGTAAAAACCAAAATGGCCTCAGGGAATGTAGAGAAGATAAGAAGGTAGAAACCAAAACAGTTCATATAAAAAAACCAAACCAAACCCCAAATATATATATCAGGGAATATATGAAAGAAAAAAGGTAAAAACCAAAACAGAGCATATAAAAAAACTAAACCAAAAACCAAACATATATATCAGAGAATAGATAAAAGAAAAGAAGGTAAAACAGTAAAAGAAGGTAAACCAAAGCAGCATCAGAAAATATAGAAAAGTTAAAAGGGTAAAAACCAAGATGGCATCAGAGAATATAGAGAAGATAAAAAGGTAAAAACCAAAATGGCCTCGGGAACATAGAGAAGATAAAAAAGTAAAAACCACCAGGCCATCAGCAGCCATGGAGCTCATTCCTTGGGCCGTGCTGTCGCATTTTTCCCTGCTCACAGCGTGTCCCTTGTGCTTGCAGAGCTGACCTACGCCTGGATCTTCAACGAGTACCCCACCTTTGTGCACCAGGACAACCGGCGCTTCGTGTCGCAGGAGACCGGGAACCTCTACATCGCCAAGGTGGAGACCTCGGACGTGGGCAACTACACCTGCGTGGTGACCAACACCGTGACCAACAGCAAGGTCCTGGGGCCTCCCACGCCCCTCGTGCTCAGGAACGACGGTAGGACCTTCCCCAGCTGCCCTGGGGGGCTTTGTTGGGTTTTCGTGGGTGGATGTCGCCCAGAAAGTAAAAATTGGCTGAA